GGGGGGGCTGACTAGTGCATTTTCTCTTTCTGAACATTGTCACTTAGACGAGGGGATCGGTCTGTCCTGATTGTTCTTCCTGCCAGACGTCCCATGTGCTCATGTGAAAGCTTTGCGAGGATTTACTGGGTGGGTCGTGCCTGCACCGGTCCCAGTTATGCCCAACTCTTCCCATATAAAAGCTTTGGCATAAGATTCCCCAGTGGCCCCGGGAAGACGTGGGCCGCGGAGCTCGCTCTTCGAGTTTCGGCTGTAGAGCTGTCACGGTGTAAATCAAGTGCCAAAGAGGTTATACCTGTTTATTGAGTGTCATCAGTGTTTACAGGGGAAACTTTAAAGACTCGTAAAAGTAGGTCTGCTGTCTTCTGAAGGTCTCATCATTCTTGCGGGTAGAGACACAACACCCGCAGTAGGAAAGGCAGCAGATTGCTCCTGTCATATCACTTGGCTGTTTGGGAGTGTACTTAAAGGATTATGATTGATAAGGCTGTCCTGCCGGAGAATGTTGACACAGGTGTGCGTCGTTATCTTAATTAAGATCCTGAGAAAATGTTGTCTATAAAATGGTGACATAAGAAGGGCGGCATTTTTTTTTTTTTTGGTACAGTTTTGCTTTGGGAGAATCTAATTGCGCTTGAAACCTGTCTTTGAGCTTCCAGATTTTGTGAGCACTTTGGCAAGGGAAGTTTGAGAGAGAAATGGTCGTTTAATGTTAAGTGTTCTGGCATGTACTCATACGACTTGTGGCTTTTTGGCAATGCCTTTGTCGGCGTTCTTTGTGCTCTATCTTGGTTGAATAATGGTTACTAATTTAGAAAGAAAGGCAGAGAGCAGCCTATTAAGCAAATGTTTATTAGTGTTGGGAATAAATCTGTAGAGGAAGGCATGCTTGATGTGCAGTAGCAGAAATAAAAAGGTAAATATGGGAGACATTTGTGCCACTTCATTATTTGGGAAGCATTCTCCTAGAACGTTTTATTGATCTAAAACAATTACTGTTTTCATATCATCAGATACTTAGCTACATTGCTTATGGAATTCCTTGTTTTTATTTCCAGAAATAGAAAAAAACACCCTGTTTTATTTTTTTCCAAAACATGGTTCTGTGAATTTGAGTTGATGAGCAAGTGAAGATAGTGCATTTAGGCTCTTAATAGTTTAAGGATCCGAATCGTAACCTGGGTGACCAGTAAATTAATATTACCGTCCTTGACTTCAAATCTCTAAATGCAAAAACAATAGCAAGACGGATGCTGTTGATCATATTACCCTTGGCTTACCCAGCACCTAATACCCTTCAACATAAGTATTGCATTAAGGTTTCCCCCTCTCTTTGTAGATCATGATTTCCAGGAAGCTGGCTGTCCATCACTGTGTATGTAAGATGTGTGAGTGTTTTTCTTTAATATTCAAACTCACTGTAGAAAGAGGAAATGAAAGGGGAGGAGGCCATAGGCATATATGATCGGAGAAGCCAGGTGTAGAGTCACAGCTCATTCCTGACGCCAGGGATAATTAGCTGGCTAGAATTACATGGTATACTAAAATCAAAGAAAGACTTATTTAGATTTGTTTGCTGAAATTCCAATAAGAGCATTAATTTTTGAGGATAATTGCTTTACTGACCCTCCAACTCCCCTACCAGAATTTCTTTTTCTGGCAGCTAAGATCAGCATCTCCAGGCCCTTTTCCATGTATTATTTTAAAATTTGATATGCTGTGTTAAAAGAAATGAAATAGGAATATGAACTAATTACTTGTCATTCATTTTAATTAATAACACAAGTAATCACTAATGTATGTTTACATCATAGGAATCTTAAGAAAAATTTAAATCTTCTTTGGATGATAACATTCAAGTAAAAGAAATTGTTTAATCCTGAGTGAATTATAGGTTATGAAAACAGTATTATATTTTGGAGCAATGTTTTAACTCTGCGATAATATCTCAATATCTTTGTATATTTCCCTTCCATTTCTACATTGTGTTGACTTTTGCATTTTTAACATCTTTTTTGTGTGATTATTAGCTGTCTCGTAGAAAAGAATCATTTTTAATAGAATAGCAAGTGAGGCACCTCTAAGAAGATGTAACATCTTGAAATTATTCAATAATGATTCTGGTTTGCTTTTTATCACTATTCTGATGTGTGATTCTCCTGACTTATTTCTACATAAATCTGCAGTATTTTTATTGCCAGGGTAAAAAAAACCTAACCACCAATTTAGCCTGGCAAATTAACTTAGAGGCTTCACAATTGAAAACGAGTGTATTCTAATGTAGTTTGCATTTAAGCCTTTATTAGTAAGGGTGCACTTAACGTTTGTTCAAGAGGAGGGAATATAATTTCCTGCTGCAGTTGTCATTTACGTAATTTGTTTTTCTAGCTTTTCTCAGGCGAATGCCATTCCACGCCGCGATAGGGCCTTTACTTGTTTATTTGCCATAATGTAGAGTGATACCTTGGAGAAAATTAGATTAGATATTCACATTTAACATCCCCAAAGTACTTAACTAGTCTTCTGCGTTTCCTTAAACAGAGTCATTTCCATTTTCTGTGCAGGTGATAAGGATGATGCTTCCAAAATACATTTGGATGTTTTCAGCTAAGCTGACTTCTGAGCCATGGGTTCCTCCAGATGTTGGCTGGACTTTGTCCTTGCATCTCCCCAGGCTCATCCTCAAGTGAGTGTCTGCACAGTGTGCTTGTGTGTGGAGTAAACCCCAGATAGCATCAGTGTTGGTTTTACCAAAGTATTTATGTTGCTAATAGAGACGGAGTACAGAATGTCACTTGAGGCCTTTGGTTATATAATTTTATTAATGCATTCAACCAAGGTTCAGCAAGTAGAACATTTTTTTGCTTCGTGGAAATCCGCTGAATAATTTATTTTTAATGATGTAGTTGAGTAGTGAAATTTATAAACTCAGTGCTTTTCATAAAAATTAAGGCTAATGCTATATTTTTTAATAATAGAGTTATTATCGAAAGGAAATAATCTGATTCTACCAAATTGCAGTTTTTGATTATTTTCATTACCCAGTTCTTTTCAGAATAAATTTAGTGGGAGTATCAGCTCCAGTCATGAGCACCAAACTCTTTAAATGACAAAGAGTACACAGTTATGTGTAAAATGTCATTTTTTTTTTCCATCAAAATAGGGGCTGCTGAATACAAGTAGGTGAGAAAAGGAGTGAGAAAAATAATATTTTGCTAAATATTTGTGTTGTCTAGTGAGGAGAACAAGGAACCGGAATTAGTGATAAGGAACATTTGTCAAGTAAAAAGAGATGGTTGTGTGACCCCAAAAAAGCTAATTTTACAGAAGGCTTCTGTAGTTAGCAGAGCCTGCAGTAGAACAAATGCTTTTCTGTGAATACTTTCAAAGGCATGAAAGTGATTTTTCGCGTAATACAAAGTAACACATAATTGTACTGAAATAACACACTTGTGAACCCACATCACTGGTTAGGCCTTAGGGCTTTCACATCTGACCAAGAGCCGAAGCATTACAGCAAGTTAGAGAACACACAACACAAACATAAAGAAAATGGGAAGCAGTGAGCATTCTGATTTCTCTTTGTTTGCCTTTCAGCTTATTTTTTTCTGTATTTTTTTTTTTTAAACTCCAGGTAGAGTTGTTGTTGAATTTAAAAGATAAGAGAATTGGTTGTTGTTTTTTTTCTCCTAAGGATAAATATAGGGAAAACCTAAACATGAATGCGAATTGGCTCAGTTTTGTATCTGTTTGTCAGCCCAAATATATTGTTTCATACGTCATGCATATTAAGGGTATTCAGACATATTAAAACTAAGACTCTTTTTATATAAAATAGGTATGTGTGTGTGGGGGGGGAGGAGGTTCCCCACTCTTTTGAGAATATTAAGAAAACATGTCCCTTCAACAGTAATAGGTTACGGCTGATTAATTGGGAAGGTTGCACTAAATGTTCTCTAGTGGAAATAGCTGGGGTGTGGTCTTGGAGAAACGTATCAGTCGCTAATAAAATCGGCTGAAGTATTGGTAATTAAATTATCATTCCATCAAAGAAGGAAGTCGCAGAAGGGAAGACGGAGCTAACTATTGCTGTGTTTCTTTTTAAGAATCTGCAGTTCATAATGGAGCGGCCGTACCGACTACTGGAAGGAGGAGATTCTGAAGATAGGGAGGTAAGAGTATCTTATTTTAAAAGAATACTTTCCTCCATCATCCCGAGCCTTTATGACATAGGAGAACGTTATCTAGCCCACAGCCATTTCTTTCCATGTGAGATATGAAAATGATCTGATTTTCCTGAGCTAAGTTTCCGAGCTGCTTCTCCCAGGGCCATGGGCTGTGTTGGGAGAGCGGAGAAATCTCGCCGGGGCACACTCAGCAGCCTTAAAATAGCGTCTTTCTGAGAATTCGGTCTGCGATGGTGGCCGCACAGCGCTGGTAGATATCATTTCAGTTTGTCGTCGACGTGGATGCATTTAGCAGGTTGCTTAGCCGTCCTCATGTCCCTCCCAGGCTTCCAGGCCTCCCCTGGGGCAGGGCCAGCCAGGCCCTGACGCTGAGCGGGGGACTGGGTGCCTGACAGCGGGTTCCAGAGCTCTGCCAGGGAGGTGGCTGGGCCCAGCCTCTGGGCTCATGGGTTCTCCTCCCAGTTCACAGCTTTCAGTCCCTTTCGCTCGTTTGCATAATCCCAGGCCAGGGGTAATACTTTCCTTCTCTCATTAGGTTGGCTGGCTGCTGGCTCTGCAGCTGTCGTAGGGACTCACAGGGAAGGGGGACCCTGTCTTCTTCTGGATGATGTTTGTGATCATGTATTCGCGTGCTGTTTCATTTTCAAAAAGCTAATGTCGGTGTTAAGGAATGAAGCTAAGGTTATTCTTCTTTTTTTTTAAATTGTCTAAAGTTTTATATATGTCTCCTTTTCCCCCATTGGACCCCCCACCCCCGAAGCTAAGATTCTTGAAGAGCAAATATGATGTTCAGTTTGTGTCCATCAGAAGAGCTGCTATCTTCTCATGCTGCGCTACCACGCTGAGCGTGCAGGTTAAATTCAAAACATAAAACCCGCTTCTCAAGGACTAGTTCCTGCATCTAAACATGGTTAGACAGGCTTCAATTGTGTAAGGGTGTTTATGGCCTTTTTTTTTTCATTTTTAAGAAACATTATATACTTTTCTGGTCGCCAGAAACATCTACTCCCCGAGCGATGTCTATGCAGGGATATTAGTAGAGCTATAAAGGGTTCCGTGATGTCTAATTATATAATGAGGAAATTGGTAAGCAGTGTGGTAACTAAAATTAATTTATTCCATTAAAGGAGCTAATATACATTTAAAAACAAAAACCTTCAGGAAAAGCCTGTTTAATCTTGAACTCAAAGGATGTTTTTGGTTAACACAACAGGAAGGGGGACATGTACCAATCTCGGGTTCTTTTATTCACGCCTAGGTAGTAAACAGCGGAGGGAGCCATTAAAATGTAGCCTGGAAAAATGGGGATATCCAAGTGATTACCTACATTTGCAAAACAATTCAGTATTATAACCTTGACCAACTTTTACACCTCATGTACTTGGGTTACTCCTCCAGGTTGTAAAATACCAGTCTGTGGAATAGCTTGTATATGGAATGCCAGGGTCTTTTTGAATGAACTAATAGGTCTTGCTGGTCATCTTAACATATTCTACAATATTACAGAGTTAAAATGTAATATTTATTAATAGACGGAAAATATAAAATTTAATATCTGGGCAACGGAGACCTTTAAACCTACTTTAAAAGTCTAATCTTGACATCTGTGACACTATTTTTTTTGTCTTTGTTATGTAGATAGAATTATGGCTATTCTACATTCCAAATGTTTTATTTATTAATTCCAAATTTTATTCTCTATAATGGACTTTTAAAATAAAAGGTGTGTGTGCGTTAGAGAGTGAAATTTGGAGTCACGGGCTAATTTATTCAGCATCAGTACATAGAAACCAGCCTTGATTAATTTAGAACTCTGAAAGGGGGCCGGTAAAAACGGTTTTCAACGAAAATATCCTAATGCAGCAACCATTTAAATGTTTGTTAACATAACAGTGATGGCATTTTCTCCTCCTCCTCCTTGTGGTTTTGTCCAACTGGATGTTACAGTGGCAGTCGCACTGACTGTTAAGTGTTTAAATGATGACACCATTATGTGAAGTGATTTTGAAATGAGAGATTCCAGCCAAGAATTACATCTGCTCCCATCTCCCTCACATCATACTCGCTGGCAGTGCAGATTATGATTGATTTGTTTGTGACAGATTGCAGGAAACAGTCATTGATTTTTCAATATTTTACCTTAAAATTATTTACAGTTGTAACCATGGGGAGGTATTTCCATGGGCTGTCAGCCCCTGAAAGACTAGGATAATATTCCCTGCTCTCTGACAAGACAAATTACCTGTAATGAGTGCAGTAGCTGAAGGGTATACTTTTATTTTAAAATATGTCAATAACCCCAGTGACTAAACGAATATTGATTTAGCATAATGAAGCCTGAGTAATGTGAAAATGAGCTTTTTCAAGGAGCAGGGGAGAGACTTGCTCTCTGGCTGGATGGAAGAATCTTTCCATTCTTTGCAACCAGCTCGTGGAGATAAGGAGCTTTATATGCAAACCACCAGGAATGGTAGGGCTGCTTGTGAAAGGCAGGGCCCCCATATTGTGCCCTGGCTTTCATCGCGTCTTTTTCAGATCTCATTTGGAGTCTTACTCTTCGTCACAGGATGGCTCCTGATTTGCTTGATCTGATCTCTGACCCACGTAATATTTTTACAATTTCGACATATTTTGCATTAGAACCCCCGGTAATGAATATTAAAATATAACTATATGTACAATCATGTGTAGGTGACATAATCATTATCTTCAGACATTTCTAATGGGTTATTGTAGTATTTAATGTGCCGTATTTTATGGTAGAATAATTCCCAGTCCCTGGACATCAGATTGCTTTCAGTGGGAATGAAGATTAATTTACTTAAGTCCTGCTATTGTGGGCACCAGTGCGTGTTTTCATTTTTGTCAGCCTTCTCCCCCTTTCTCAAAGGTAATTCTCACCTTTTTTTATGGATTAAGATCTCAATAATAAGGCCCTTCAAGCAGGAATGATTGCAGAGAAGTACTTAGCTTTATTTTATGGTCCATCAAGGAGCCTGAAGGTTTTATGCCTGAATAAGCATCGCCATATCTAACTTGGTAAGAAGGAAATACGGCAAACGATGCCGGGAATACACAGCAGAAAAGTAACTATTTGAACAAGATGTCAAACTGCTATTTCACGGGAACCTAGCGTAGTTTACGATCACCAATAATAATAACGTCTTATTAAAAGCAATAGGTAAAGTCCCTTTAGAAATTAAAAAGGAGTTAGGCTTCCAGGAACACGCAGATCTCTTTGTGAGCGCGAGTTCGCCTGTGCCATCGGCATTGGAAACGTTGTAATAAAATGAAAAGTATAAACATATCTTTTAATGAAAAGAGGGATCGGCTCTAGAACAAAAATTTATCATTTAATTCCCCACCCCCAAGTATTTGCCTAAGGGTGGGACACAGATGATCTTTGTTACTTGTCTTAGTTGTGTCCTGCAGTAAACGACGAGATGCTTTATAAAAACAGTTCCATGGTTTCAAGTGCTGTAAGATTTCATTTCTCCATCACCCCACCCCCCAAATTCTTTCCCTGTTTCTACATAAGAACCTTTGAAAATAGAAATCTGAGGGATGTACCACCATCATTTATAAAACCGGTAGTCCAAATTCTTCAACCATTAATTTGGTTTATAGTTTTCTAAGTCGATATAGTATCTACAGAACTTATCTATGGATGAGGCACATGTACAGCTTATGCCTTCTAGGGAAAAAGGGCATAGATTTTAAAAGTATTTTAAATAAAGCATAGTTTCTTCAGATGAATCTATGCCAAGGAAAACATCTATATTGTTGTTTAGTTTATTTTGGAGAAAAATAATAAATATGTCATAGTCAGTACGCCTTGACCCCATCATTGAGTTTCAACCTGTGTGTTCATGTCATGGTACATGTGTGGAACGATTTTGCATTTCCTCTCTCCCCTTAAAGACAAATAAACTGCCTTTGTTGGTATCCTTTAAGGTAAAACTATGTAAAGTGTTTTCAAACCATGCAAGTCATTGCCTCGGGTTGGTTAAAACATTTACTTTTCGAAAAGGAGGAAATACCCCTGTTTGTAAAATATTTCTTGTAGTCGTACCTCTTAAGATAAACAGTTTACTTTGCTATGGTACATACCAATCTACTTCATTAATTTTTCCCCAGAATTCATTTTACCCTGTTTGGTCAGACCTTTCATGATAAATTAATATAGAACAAATTAGCATATAATTTTATTTTCCATGTGGCCTCAGCTAGTTGCAGAATTATGCTACCACTATGGGGGCGGGGGGGTTAATTTGATAGTTTATGTAGACTATAAAGTCTTTGCAAATGCTCGGTGCCTCCTGGCTAGTGTGTTGTCGAATGTGTTTTAAAGTAAGCAGTTAGAAGAAAAACTCACTCCTGGTTCTAAGTTATTAAAATGCCTCCTAAGGTAGCATTTTTAATTCGTGTGCATAATTGATGACTGATTTATCTTCTCCTGAGCATAAAGCAGCAGGGCAGAGTCCAGTGCAGTTGGGGAAGTGTAAGATCTTAGGGATTGGTGGTGACAGCGGTCATGACAACTCAATGGCTTATTCTCTCCCTGAGATCCAGCGATCGGTCTGAAACTTCCTGTGCTCCGTGCAACGTCGACGCAAAGGACGTGGAAGAATCCAGTGCTCGAGTGGTTTAAATACGCGTTGGATGTTGCTATTTATAGACGCCAGTATTTTTCCAATTACAATCCTCAGTTGTCATTCAGAAGACTAGGCGCTTCTTGATCATCAACTTTAAATGCCTAGTATGAGAGTATTACCAAACATTTTCTGTTTTAATCAAAATATAGAAAAAAAAAATCAGTTTTATATGCTGACTTTTTTTTCTAAAATGTCCTTATTGGGTGGCATGAATGTTTACACCTGGAAAGGGGGTCTCTGGGAAGACCCCCTGCTCTGCCACGGAGCTTCTCCCGGAATCCAGCATCATTAGAGTAGGTTACGGCCACTGTGTAATGTGACCGTGTTATATTTGGGGGAGGAAAAAGACTTGACAAGTATATATATATTTGAATTCTCTATATTCAGTGCCTCTGGAATAGAACACTTTCTCCTCAACCAATCTATTAGCTCAAAACTCACAAGAAACAGTCGCCTTAGCTGGCAAAGCATGTGCGACGTGTTTAAATATTTGATTTCTGTACAGAAGGTTGCCATCCAGTTTCCACGGACTCCTTACGTTGGAGGAGACTGAATACTGGGGAGGTGCCCTGCCATGGGGGAGTTCCTGCTTGTGGCCTCTGCGGTGGCTGTGGAGGGCGGGAGGGGAGGGCGGGAGGGGAGGCCCCCCCCCCC